ATAGCGATCTTCATAATTAATAAAACCAGAAACTGGGAGTTTTGGACTCTCAGTTTTATTTTATGCATTATTCTACCATTTGATTTTTTAAAGAACTATGTACCAAAAAAGTTGTTGCAAAGCAGTTTTGTTACAAACTAGTGGCCTGGTGCATGGATTCGTTCACATTGAAAGAAAATTAATTAGAAGAAAGATTCGTGCGGTAATTACATTACTGCAAAAAATTACATGTCAAAATAGTATATCTACACTAATAAAAGACAAAGATGCTAATTGACCATACTTAGATCCCACAATATAAAAATATGTTTTTGAACCTTATGAAAATTAGATACACTGAAGCTGAAGAACATATATGCATATACCATGGAGATGGACAATAGTGTGATGAAGGCCAAGGGAGGGGGAATGGGGGACATCCTCAACAGTGTCAACATTAAAAATTTCTAATTAAAAAAAGATATTATCTTAGAACTGGAATTGCTGTGATGTAAAGTGTGTATGGCATTTTCACTATTATCAAATGACTTCCTAAACTAGATATCAAATTTATATTCCTATTAGAAATTCATAAGAGGTCCAATTTCCTCAAATTCTCACCAGTCCTTTGATACAACAGACCAGGATTAGGGTTAAGGCAAATGGCATGAGTTGTGTAAGTGGATGGTCAGATCCTGTTTTTATTTAGAATTTAATATTTTTTTCATTATGGGTTTTTGTATCAATTTTGAGTTTTGAAGATATTGCATTAAGATATTATCTTGACTAGTGAGTTTTTTGTGTCCCCTTACAGGACAGTGCCTGCTTGATGTTAATTAATTTTATTTCTTTTTGTAATTCTGATGTATATAAAAAGATCCTTTATTATCCTAACTTGGCATTTGCCTGATCATTAGCAGGATTAAGTATTTTTTCTATACATATTAACCATCTAGGTTTCTTTTATGAAGTATCTGAACATATCTTTTAACCACTTTTCTGTTGGGTAGTTTTCCTTCTCTCTATTACTATGCAGAACTAATTTATATGTCCTTTTAAAAACCTCTTTTTTACTTATATGCATTACAAGTATCTTTTCTCAGTCTGTACCTGACATTTTCATTTTGTTTATTGCATATTTGTCATATAGAAATTTATAATTATAATGTAGCCAAAATCATTAATCTCTTCATTTATGATCTATGCTTTGCAGTGTGTTTGCTTAAAACATTTTCTCTACCCCAATGTCAGAGGACTTTTCCCCTCTTTCCTTCTGAAAGTTTTAAAGTTTGGCTTTTCATATTTAATTCTTCAATTTATCAGGATAAAGTAGGAATCTAATTTTATCTTTTTCATATTTATATCTAGTTGCTCAACAAAATGTATTGAATAGTTCATCCCATCTTTTCTTAATTAATTTATAATGGAATCTATGTCATATACAAAGCTCAGATATGTAAAGTGAGTCTGTTTCTGTGTTTTCTGTTACACTTTATTTGTTTGTTTATTTTTGCACCAATTCTATACTTAACAAAATAATCCTATATAATAAAAGCATAGTATGCAAATTATCCCCTCAACCAGAGTTCTTCCGGGAGTTCGACCAGGGGTTGGGCCAACAGGGGGAAAGGAGGGAGGCCCTGAACAGCGGTGGTGGCAGGCAGCTGGGGGAAGGGAGGGAGGCTCCGGCCAGTGGCAGCAGCAGCAGCAGGTGGCCAGGGAAAGGGAGGGAGTACCCGGCTTGCAGCTGGAAGCCACTAGGGACCCTACCAGTGCACGAATTCTGAGCACTGGGCCTCTAGTAGTTTATAGTAAGTCTTTATTTCATGGTGGGTAGGATCTCCTTTTATTATTATTACTAGTGGCCTGGTGCACAGATTCATGCACATTGAAAGGAAATTAATTAGAAGAAATATTTTAATATTGCCATTCACCCTTTCTCTATAATAGAAGTGTCAGAGATGAAAGAAAATTAGTAAAATGTATATGAAAATAATATATAAATTGATTAATAAATAAACAATATTTTGTTGACAATGTCACTTTTTTTTGGCTTCAGAAGTATGTTGTGCTAATAGTTGGTCTTCCGATACATTCTGGTGTTGCATGAGATTGGTGCCAGCGAGAGCTTTGTATGTCTCGTGTATGCACGAGTCAATGTTTATTTTTAATGTTTATTTTTAAATTGCCAGTGTGCGTCATATGTGCCAGTCGGACAGGCGGTCGGATGTACATACGGTCGGTCACTTAGCCTTTTAGATAGATAGATAGATAGATAGATAGATAGATAGATAGATAGATAGATAGATTCACTTCCTTCCGGCTCCTTTTCCTTGGAGGTTCACATAGATAGATAGATGATAGATAGATAAAATGACACATGACTAGGCTTTTCTTCCCGTCTCCCATATAGTTTCTTCTTTAACATGACTGGAGAGAAACGCTGTTTCCTCTACTAAAACCTGTTGCCAATGGGTGAGGCTCATGCCTTCACTACGCGCTGGTGCTCTGCTCCATGTCTCCCAGGGCGTGCGCTTGGAGTGCTGGGCTAGTGGGAACATTGGGTTGATGTATAGTTGATTCTAAAGTCTGGACTGAACAGTTAGCTCCTGGACTCTGCTTGTTCCTCTGATATGCGTTGTCTGTCAGCACTTGCTCACATTGGCGACTGTCAGACACCTATTAGCTTGCCACTCTGTGTATGTAGATCTGGAAGTGAATGGGCCAGTGAAGAAATCAGCAAGGCTCTCAGCGTGTCATGTCAGAAACTGTGGTCTTTGTCATCAGAGCTGTCATATGAAAGGGGCGGGTTAAGATGCTGTACGAGGCTTGGCCTGTTTTTCCTTCCTGTCTGCTTTTGGCGCCGACAGCCCATGTGACAAGCCAGAGTGACCACAGCGTAATGAGCAGGACAGGGGGCACGGCGAGGGCAGCATTAGTGACAGGTGTTTCACTGGCTTATCTCTCTTTCATAATTGAAGTGTGAGCTCCATGATGGGCAGGGGCCTCCCTTGTTTTGTTTATTGCTGTATCCGCAGCACCTAAAACATGCTGGTGACACTCAGTAACTGGCTGCTGGATGAATGAATAAAAGGGACATGCTTGGTATTTATTTTTAGTTTCAATTCACTTCCTTCCGGCTCCTTTTCCTTGGAGGTTCACATTTGGGGCCAGACATTTCTTTGCTGTAAGGACTGTCCTGTGCATTGTAGGGTGGTTAATGACATCCTTGGCCCCGACCCACTAAATGTCAGTGGTACTGCCCTCTTGGTTGTGATGAACAAAAATGTCTCTAGATGTTGCCGATGGCCTGTGGGGGAGTGGCGGGGAGCATCACCCCCAAATGAGGAACACTGGTCCGCGCAGTCGTTTTAGGCTGGACAAAAAGGAAGCTCTCACAGTCCCAGAAGGGACCGGAAGTTCATGGAGTGTAACTTCTCCTACTGTCTATAGTCACCCAGCTTGTCCAGCGGCACCCACCTTCTCTGTCAGCAGGTGAGCCCAGCACCCACGCACCTTTGCCACACACAGTGACAGAACCATTCTGAGCGCAAGTCTGCACCGTGCTGGTGCCGTGCGGCCGTGGAGACACGGTCCTTAGAGCCTTGAAAGCGATGCCCTTTCAAAAAGACAAAGGAACGGATGGCTCCGCCTGCCCACCACACACAGCCCCCCTCCTCCTGCCTCCCTTTATATACATTGTTCTCAACCGTCTCCCTGGCCCTTCCAGAACCATTTTGGAAATGGAAGGCAGGAACGAAGAAAGAGGAAGAGAAGAAAGAGGAAAAAGGAGGTAAGAAGAACATGGTGTGGCCCCACTCAAAGTTAACACCCAGAATAAGTAGCCTTGATCCTTGGGCAACCAGAGTCAGGTCTGTTCCATCAGTTCAAACCAAACAAAGGTTAGGATGGTTCTGCCACTGTCTGCACAGTCCTTCTTCTTCATAAAAAGTATCTAGAAGGCACTGAAGATGCATCTCAGGTTTCTCACCAGGACAGGCCATGGGGACTGGTGGCCTCTTTGGGTGGAATAGTCAGAAATACGCCGGAATGGCACTGACGAAAGCATGTGGGTTGGAAACAGGAACGTGTCAGCTGTGGAACAGCCCTGAGGTGGGAGTCTGCTAGCTGGCCTCTCGCTTACCTGATTCTGAGGAACTTGCCCTCCCAGTTCACTGACTGTCACCACCTATAAGCTGGGGAGCTTCCCCCGAGTATCCTGCAGAACAACGGGCTGCTTCTCATGAGGCACCATTGCTGGGGAGGGGGGCTGACTGGCTCTCTGCCTGCAGAAGGCACATGCATGTGGAGTGCCTGCCACCGGCCCCTGCACGGAACCACCGGCCCAGATGCTGGTTGACCCTCCTCAACCAGCCCCGTTGGTGGCACAGGCAGGGTTCCAGGACTCTCAGAATGAGCCGGCCTTCGGCTGGGGCTCTGCCTTGGTGGGGTTTGCTTACTTCCATGTCAGCAGACCAAGTTTCCCTCTTGTTTCTCCCCCTTCCTCCCACCCCCGAGATTTTGATTCCTCTGACATCTGTGTGCAAAGGTGGGAAGCTATGTATTGCTTATTGTCTGTGAATTTACATTTGCTTATTAGATAGCTGTGGTCATGCCCACTGTGTCTGCTCTTCTTAAGGAGCTCCAGGAGCAGGAGAAAGAATTACAGTGAGAAAGAGTGAAAGGCAGTAGAGCTTGGTGGTTCAAAGCTTAGTCTCTGGTCCAACTGCCAGCCAAGCTTCAAGTTCTGGGTATGACCTTGGGCAAGTTACTAGTCTGGCTGCCTCGGTCTCTCACCTGGAAACGGGTCTCACTAAAGTAGCTGCCACGCTCGGTGGCAGGAGGATGGAAAAGGGTAACGCATAGAAGTGCTGACCACACGGCTGGGCAGCTGGGCGAGTTGTTGACACCCAAACGCCAGCTATTAGTCAAAGAGGTTTCCCAAGAAGAGTTTGGTGGGGTTTTGTTTTTGTTTGTTGTTTATGTTTCCTGCTCTGACTCGGTTTTCCTTTTTATTTTAGGTTCCATTTTTTGGGCGGAGGATGCTTCACACGTGTCCATGCATGCCTGGCTTAGCCTGCTCAAGAGCTGCAGTCAACCGATTTGTTTGTTTAGCCCGAAAGTAATCACTTTAGAGTAGAAACTTGAAATGTGAGCAGCCACATGATGCCTGTAAAATCTATTCCTTGCTATTGTTCCAGACATATAGTGTGCCAGACAGAAAAGCTAGTGCTTCCGCAACCTTCCAAGTGACATTTCTAGCTTTGATTTTTAAAAGACCTCTTTTTACTGAAAAACATTTAGTTTGGGGTAGAAATGTAACGTTCAAGGCATTATGGAACTGGTTCTCATTTCCCTGTTTGTGTTAGGATTTGGTTTGGCTTTTTTTAATGCCAATAACTCACCCATTTTCACAAAAATGAGGACAATAAGAATTTGATATTTTGTTACAGACACTTCTTTTTTCTTAAACCCTTCTCTCCCATCCCTGCCCCCCACACACATCCTTGCTCACCCTTTGGTCTCTCACTCCTCAAAGAATTTTAAGGCCCTCACTTTGTTCTTTGCCATTTACCTCCCTATCCTTGTGGCATTTTAAAATATGTGTGTGGTGGGGGAGGGGTGTCCATATCGTCCAGTTTGCTGGTGGAGTCACTGATGAAAATCAAGCTTCTTGATGATGTTTAAGCAGTGACGAGTGGAGAGCTACACTAGACCCCTCAGCATCTCTGACATGGAGTGAGGGTGGGAGCTGCTAGACGCCCATGGAGCCCGTCTGCGCAGGCCTCAGGTCTGCTGGGACCGTGTGAGGACAAAGGAATGGAGGGACAAATTAATTTAGTCCAGATTGATAGGTGGATTTTTAAAGAATTCCTGATACAGCAGTGTTTTCAGCTGGTGTGCCCCTGCACACTGGTGAGCCACAAGAATTTTTGACACCTGCAACACCTGCCTCTTTCCCTTAGATTGTCAAATTAAAAATGACAACAGCTAACACACAATATCCATCTGGTGTGAACGACTCAAATTTATACTTTTTTTTTGTCAGACTGGCAAAATATTCTTTTTGGCGTGCTGCAGAGGTTCAGTAATTAGTTTATGTGCAAGTCGCTACAGTACAGTATTACATAATTTCTTTTTTATGAAGCTAATTTTATTAGAAAACTCTTGTAGTTAGAGATGTTCCCAAAAATGTCACTTGAAGAGGAAGTACTGGTTTTATTATGGCATAAAACTAGTTATCCTTTTAAAATTGGTTTTAACTTGTAATTTAAACTTCATTTGTAACCAAAAGTTCTATCGTAATGGATTGCCTGCCATTTGTACCTGTATCACTATTGCTGTGTAAAAATTCTGTATCAGAATTTCTGTATCAAAAATCCTGTATCAGTACTGTATACCCCTTGATTTATTTTAATATTATATCCTTATTTTTGTCACAGTTGTCTTCAGTTTTTATTACAGGCTGATTTTTATATAGCCCACATCCCAAACTTGGCAAAGACTCTTCGGTTGGTCAAATAGCACTATTGTCTGCGCATTTTCACTTTACATACAGGAAAATTCTGTTTGCATGAATGTTAAGGAAGTACAAAAACCATGTAAGTCAGTGAGGTTTTGGAGAATGAAGGAAAATTATGACATACAGAACCGACTGCAACCAGAACGACTCGTGGGGTGTCACTGCCGATTCAGCAGGTAGTGACGGCGTGTCCGCCCTGGCGCTGGGGCAGGTGCCGGTGCTCGCCAGACAGCGATGCCAGCGTGGCCTGGCCTTGAAACCCAGCAAGTGTTGTAAATGGATTCAATGTCACAAATAAATGGCTTATGCAATGTGTCTCACTGACTAAAGCTCATCATGCCAACCTACTAAAAGGGTCCCGTGGTAGCTGTTTACTCCGCCAGGCCTTCGGCTCCCCAGAGAGCCGCTCAGAAATGTGGGGGGTTGTGCTGTGCTAATTACCATCCTTGGTCACGGAAGTAGTGGTTTGGGTTCAGTTTAGTCTGTGTTCAAGGAACATTCCTTAGTGAGTTCATTGAGAAAAAAATTTAGACTTCAGCAAGTGGAATCATGGGTAAAAAAAACAGGCAGTTCAGCAATTTTGCTAAATGTTGTTTTCACATAAGTGGTGAAAACAATTGGATCAATCATCCATTTTTTAAAAATATATATATATTTTTTTGATTTCAGAGAGGAAGGGAGAGGGAGAGAGAGAGAGAAATATCAATAGGGAGAGAGAATCATTGATTGGCTGCCTCCTGCACACTCCTTACTGGGGATTGAGCCTGCAACCCGGGCATGTGTCCTTGACCAGAATCAAACCAGGACCCTTCAGTCCGCAGGCTGACGCTCTATCTACTGAGCCAAACTGGCTGGGGCTCAATCATCCATTTTCCCATGTTAAAAATCATATAATCAACTTTAAAAAAATTTTACTTTTGCAAATACCAACTCAGTTTTTAACATGGAGGACTGAACGCAGCCGAGAGCGAGGTGGCCTAGAGCTGTATCTACGGACTCACTGCCACCCAGAAAACCAGCTTTGTCCTTTGAAACTCTGCCCTGGGTTATTTTTATGGAGGAATAATACTCCCTTTTTTTGCTTTTGTTAAATCTCACTTGAGGGTATTTTTTCTATTGCTTTTCAGAGAGAGTGGGAGGGAGGTAGGGAGGGAGAATGAGAGACAGAGAGAGAGAAACATTGATGTGAGAGAGACACATCAACTGGTTGTCTCCCACACATGGCCCAACCGAAGGCTGGGAGTGAACCCGAAACCCAAATACATGTCATTGTCTGGGAATCAAACCCAGGACCCTTCGGTGCACAGGCCGCCACTCTAACCACGGAACAGACCGTCCAGGACAGTACTTCCTTGTTTAGTGTATAGTTCTGTTTAGTTATTGTTTTAACATATTACCAAAGTTAGCTAGCACCTTTCAAATATTTCAAAAATACTTGTAATCAGACCTCATGGAGACTCTTTTTTATAATAATTCTATGCGAAGAACACAAAGTGTTGCTTTATGAAGACTGTGGCATGCTTTCCTCCAGGCCCACCCAGCATGGCCTCTCACTAAAATTGGGACTTCATAGGCCAGAATTTCTACAAGATAAGGGACAGCGACGTGCTCTGTAGTAAGTGTGAATAGATGGGATCCATTATGAGGTAGAAATGAATCTTATGCCTGAAGCTACTGACCAAACTCAAGTGCACCTTTGGATTTCATTGCAAACATAGACTTCCATGAAAACTCATTTCTGACTTCAACAACCTTATTTTAAAAGCAACACTTTTTTTGCAATATTAACCAGTTGGCTTTATTCAATTTGTTAATGAAATATGATTAATATGATCTAAACATTAATTTTCAATTGTTCTTTTTATTTTATTATAATTTCTTTATTGTGATAGTATTACAGATGTCTCCTTTGTTTTTGTTTTTTCCATTGACCCCCTCCACCCTCCTCCTGGCCCTCCCAGGCCTACCCCACACTAATGCCTGTGTCCATGGATTACGCAGATCTCTCTCTATATAAAATCCTAATATGCAAATACGCCGAACAGCAGAAGAGCAGAACAACTGAACAACCGAACAAACTGGTCGCTATGACATACGCTGACCACCAGGGGGCATGCACAAAACATGGTGGGGGTCGGCAGCAGGCAGCAGAGCATGGAACACGGCAGGCATTGGCTGCAGTGGGATGGTGGAGCAGGTGAGCAGGGGCGCCAGACCAAGGCAGGGCTCCGGTTGCTGTCACTGGGGTGAGCCTCTGGTGGTTACTGAAAATTCTTTGCTCCCTTGCGCCACAGTGCCACCCGGCACTCGCACACACTGCCGGCGCCCAGAGCCAGCCCCAATCACTCAGCGCTGTCAGCAAGTGCAAGAGGCAGCTCCCGGCCTCAATTGCCCCTCAGGGCTTCTCCACCTCCCTCCACCCGCTCCTGAGGAGCTATCGAGGCAGCAGCTGTTGCTTGCACCCACTGATGGCAAAGGCCCCATTCGCACCCGCTGCTGGCGCTGGCCCCAATCACTCCACACCGTCAGCGGATGCCAGTGGGGCTGGCACCATCAGCGAATGGGAATGGTGGTGGCAGGAGTGGGGCTGCCAGCAGACAAGGGACTGGGGGCCACAGCAGTAGGGGCCAGGCAGGGGCGCAGAGGATGGGCCGAGACCCGCCCCTGTACCCACCACAGCTTCGCGGCCCACAGTTTCTTTCAAGGTGCACAAATTCGTGCACTGGGACCCTAGTATGCATATAAATTCCCTGATTAATCTCTTCCCACCCACCTTCCCTCTGATTTTTGTCAGTCTGTTCCATGCTTATGTCACTGCATCTATTTTGTCAGTTTATTGTGTTTATTAGATTCCACATATGAATGAGATCATGTGATCCTTGTCTTTCTCTTATTTCACTTAACATAATACTTTCCAGGTCCCTCCATGCTGTCTCAAAGGATAAGAGATCCTTCTTATTTATAGCTTGCATAGTATTCCATGGTGTAAATGTACCACAGCTTTTTTATCCACTCATTTACTGATGGGCACTTGGGCTGTTTCCAGATCTTAGCTATTGTAAATTGTGCTGCTATGAACATAGGGGTGCATACATTCTTTCTGATTGGTGTTTCAGGATTCTCTGGATATATTCTTAGAAGTGGGATTACTGGGTCAAATAGCAGTTCCATGTTTAATTTTTTGAGGAAACTCCATACTGCTTTCCACAGTGGCTGCACCAGTCTGCATTCCCACCAACAGTGTACAAGGGTTCCCTTTTCTCCACATCCTCAACAGCACTTGTTTGTTTATTTGTTGACTAGAGGCCCGGTGCACAAAAATTTGTGCACTCGGAGGAGGGGGGGGGCGTCCCTCAGCCAGGCCTGTGCCCTCTCGCAGTCTGGGACCCCTCGGGGGATGACCACCTGCTGGCTTAGGCCTGCCCCCCTGGGGATTGGGCCTAAGCTGGCAATCAGACATCCCTCTGGCAGCCCGGGAGCCCTCAGGGGATGTCCACTTGTCAGCGGGGAGCTGGCCTAAGCTGCAGTCTGACATCCTTAGTGCTGCTGAGGAGGCGGGAGAGGCTCCCACCACCACTTCTGTACTGGCAGCCATCAGCCTGGCTTGTGGCTGAGCAGAGCTCCCCCTGTGGGAGCACACTGACCACCAGGGGGCAGCTCCTGCATTGAGCGTCTGCCCCCTGGTGGTCAGTGTGTGTCATAGTGACCAGTCATTCCCAGTCTATCTGCTGTTAGGGTCAATTTGCATATTACCCTTTTATTATATAGGATAGAGGCCTGGTG